GGTCGGCGCCGCCGGCCAGCAACCGTCGCGCCGCCGCCTCGTGGCCGCCCAGCGCCGCGTAGTGCAGCGGCGTCAGCCCGAACACGTCCTCCGGCGCCGCCGGCGCGCGCCGCAGCAGCGCCTAAGCCACAGTACTCCTTCAGGTCCAGTTCATTCAACTAAAAACGTATTACATACTAATCCGATAAAGTAATACTTGTGCTCATCCTAGAAGTAACTGTGAAGAAGAATCAGAGGAATTCACGGAGGGAGAAATGAAATTAATTTTATCAGGTTTTATGTAATTAACACTTTCAAGATATTCAAGATATTCAAGATATTTCAAGATATCTTCCAGCAACATCAATGGCAAATAATCCAGAATTCGTAATCCGTAATTATAAATATAATTTACTCTAATTAGTCAAATAATCCGTAGTCGCGTTCATTCAAACAAGGGAATGTTGCCCCCAGATAAGGGATTTCGGTGTCGGCAGCGCGCGCAGTGCGGGAAGCGTGCGAGAACGGTAGCCGCAGTGCTCGATCGAAGGCCACCGGTTGCAGAAACGCTGGAGCGTCCGTTGCTAAGACGGCGTAAACTATGTCGTCGCTGGAGCGGAGCGGCCATTGCTAATAGTCGGTCGGCCGCTGTTTGTGGCTTTTCTTAAGAAGGCGTGTAAACTGCGCCCTCTCGATGTACTTGTCTGCCTGAAAAGGCCGGCGCTTCTGCGAGCACGGGCAACTTCCCCTGACTCCGCTCACATTTCCCCTCCAAATCTAGAAAGAGCTGTACAGCTCGAGTTGAAGCGGTGCGAGGCTTGTAATAGTGACTAGATACGAACACATATTTTCCGGATATTTTCAATCAAAACCATGATTTGAATTGTGATTATCTTCTGTAATATTTATTACTATTTCATGCGTATGTTTATTTTCTGACGTTTATAAACATTTTTGTCAATAGGCAGGTTTATATATGAATGGATAATTCTTTTCTTGTTTTTGATTTGTGTTATGATTTATTAAATCAGTTATTTATTGTGTATAGCAATACTGAGAAATAAATTAACACGTCTGTATAAATTAAGAATCCTCGCATATGTGTGAACAGCTGCCTTAACTGACAAGAAATGTTTTGTTAAACCACGTAACCTGAACCGAGGAATGCAATGAAATGATTGATATCTTAAGTAAAGACGATTTTGAAATTCATATATTTTTGATTGAAAATGATTCCTTTAATCTCAATTGACAATTTTAAATTTAAGTGATTTATTTTTTAACTTTAAGGGATACCTTTTTTGATTTAATAGAGAACATATAAATCCATGTAGCTAAATTTTCAGGCAAGAACTGTAACTACCTTTTCCAAAAGTCGTCAAGAGACAGGCATCCTGTGACCTACCGTCACCGTAGAGTGACGTGAGTAATAATCCTACTGTCACCGTAGTGATAATCCTTACTTTTAAACCACGCGCCAGTTGCTCTAGACACAATGTTCGCGAACTCAAATGTGCTAGTCACCTTGCCTCAGACCTTGACATTTCTGTTCTAGTAATGTAGAGCTCTTTTAGTAGCATCACAGGTACATGCAACAACAACTTAAATATCGTCCGGTATCGTCACCAATGTTCAGAAGAGGTCACCACTGTAGTGTAAGATAATAGTTTGCTTAATAGTCCACTTGTATTGCACTAAAAATTTTATGAGAAACTTGCATAGGAAGAATTGAAAGACAAAGTAACCCCTTAGCTGAAAGCCCGAGTGTGCTATGGACTTTGAAGTTCGTAAGCAAATGGAACCTAGATTATACCTCGTTATACATGACTTATGGGTGGACAGCCCTTTTAACAGACATTAACTTTTATTGTTAAATCTCGTAACCTGAACATAAGTCGTTAATGCGACTATTAACCACTTAAGTAAATACAATTACGAAATCAAAATACTTTCAATTCAAACTGTTTAATTTCAATGTCAATTGACAACTTTAAATATGTCTGATTTTTAAGTTTAATGGGTAATTTCTTTGCTGTGGTAGAGAAAATTGGAATTAGAAGTTATAGGCTACTCTTACAACTTTTAAATGGTTCACGTTTTCACTGGTTTAAATGGCACATTTTAAAATGGTTTAAATGCAATATAAGCAATATGCAGTAGAGGTATTGTTTGAAATATTTTTAGTTTTCCAGAAAATTAAAAATCTTTGATTTTAAACATAGAATTATGTATTTTTCTCACAAGCAATGGATAGATAATAAAGTCAAGAAAACAATATTAATGGTTTGATAGTAGTTTATACAATATTTTCAGACATGTGATTTTTAATTCAACCGACTAAATTTCCTTGGAACTGTCGCTTTTAGTGAAGGTACCTCCCTTAATGAAATCTGTTCTTTAAAGATATATTTTTGAATTAAATAGTCTACAAATTTTTGAAAATTTGAGTGCTTTTCACGTAATTTAACGTGAATATACGGACGAGAAAGAACATACTGTTTAGCATCTCTAGTTATTTTCTCGCTACCGCTTACGCAGTAGAAAGAAAGTTACGTAATGTTGCGCGAAAAAACAGTGAATTTTTGGCAGAAAACTCACATTACAAGTAACGAAAAAGTGAATAAATCCAATGGCTAAATTTAGAAAATAAATCCTCTAACACGTGATGCATTCCGAATCCATGTTTTGCGGGCTCTTGATATCCTAAAATCAAATGACGTCAAAACGTCTGTGTCTGCCTGTAAGTGTGTGAACAATGCTAGAGGCTAAGCCGTACAGCCAATTTTCTCCAAAATTGTTATTCCTCAATTGATACAGCTAACGTCGAGGGCCATTGAACGTGAAACTGAATTTTTAATTATGGGGGTACATTACATGAAGCCCTTGGGATATTTACCAAATGAAACAAATGAATGCCACGTTGTGGCTTAAATTGTGTTGTTGAATCTGAAGAATGTTTAGGAGAAGTGCATGTCTCATGTTCGTTGAAAAACCTGATTTTTCAAAAATTGCAAAAGTTTAAAAGAGTTCGGAGTCTTCCTACAACTAAAGTACTAAATTTCACGTAATTTTTTTGAACGAACGGACGAGAAAGTACGAGCAATTGAGTCCACTAGTTGATACTGTATGATAATTTCTAGAAATGATTTTAATGGCTTGTGCTGATTGAGACCAATTGTTCCTGTAAATTATCGTTCAGAATATATGCAAACAGTAATTATTATTGACATTGACTTGAAATTATTCATTGTTATGCATAAACAACATCACACAATGGAACACTGTTGTTTGAAATATTACCCCTCGATTTGGTTAGCATTTTACGTATTCACTTCGACAAATTGCTCAATTGCCTTCCATTGAAACTCATTGGAAACCTTTTAAAACATGCACAAAAAGAAACACAAAGCTCATATTATTACTTTTAATGAAACCATTGAAAAAATGTAAATTAATTTCATCTATTGTTATTTATGTTAATTTTCATAAAACATAATTATATTAAACAAATAACTAGTCAATAATTTTAACTTGATGATAATTTTATCCGTATTTCCTAACGCTATTGTCAGATAATTCTGATTATTTGAAGATACTGAATAATAATATTATTGGAGTTTGAGTTTGTAGAACTGGGAAATGTTCCGGAAGTACGTCGATAAAATATTCCTCACCCCCACCGCGGAATTAGTATCACTTTTGAAGCAGTCTCTTCTGTAACAAATTTTCTCTATGCATAATAACGTGCTTTGTTAGATCGAATTCAGTCATTATATTTTTGTAGATACAAATGTTCTTCCAAATGATCCAAATAGAAAATCATTCTTCAATATATGTGTTAGATAATACGCGATTGAATAGAACATATAATTCTCTTAAATTATTAAGTTTGATAAGGTTATAATAATAATCATTTTTACAAAATGACGATAGAAAATAAATTTCTAAATTCACTTTTTGAGTTTTAATGTATTATGGCCTTTGAGTCGTTAAAACCTTAATTCTCTCCCTCGAAAACACAATTTGCTCATCTGTTGACAATTTTTCCTATTTCACTTGGTTATATCGATGAAAGTGTTACGGTATGAAGATATGTGAAGTAATTTCTGAAAAATAAATGATCGTTGAAACGTGCGGCTGAAGAATAGCAAAATTTCTACTATTTTCTATTCGTTTATCCTCTGTTCACGATCCAGTCATGTAAATATTACTCAATTGGTGAATAAGTAAGGGGATGAACACTCACTTAGTGACTCAAGAGTTATTCGTAAGTTAGAGCATCTATCGGTTCGACAATATTTCATTGGGAGACAATGCCGTACCACTGAATATATATTACAGAGTGATTGCGAGGGTTAAATGATGAAAAGAGATGAATAATTACGGACCTGAGAATACAATCTCTAATCATTATTAGATTCAGATGAGGCCTGTGGGGATATAAGAAGCCAACTCTGCCAGATTCAGTTAGAGAAGACCCTCATTCATTATACAAGACTGAATCACGAACTGCTCTGGTTGCGTAGACTTCCGCGGCCACAGCTTGTATTATCTAGGCTATTTGGAACGAGCCGCATCACTGACATGGTGGCTAGCGTTCGGCCATCGTATTGTGGATTTCCTCAGAGCGTACTGCGCCAGATGGCTAGCCAGATGGCCTTATTTGGAGGAGAAGGGAGGGCGGGATTGGTCCAGTGATTGGCAGCAGTACATCATCCGTCATCATCAGTATCATCAACCGTCAAGAAACTTCTCTTCGGTGAAACACTATGCAAAATGAAAGAAATCCGCTCCCAGGAAACGAGCGCGCCCACCAAGATGGCGGCCATACCGTGACGGCGTCGGCGTGGCCGCGCCAGGCGGCCAGGTGCAGCGGCGTGCGCCCCAGGCGGTCGGCGGCGGC